TAAATTATTATAAAAATGGGTAAATTTTTTGATTCACAAGATTTTAATTTCAGCTGCCTTAGTAGTATTCATTCTATACTGTATTTCTCAGTGATTTTTATATTACTGAAAATATGTATTAACCTGTCTATTAGAACTTAATGGTAAAAGCTATTTTATGATACAAAGTATCTGGTTGGCCTGACAATAGAGACTAGCTTTGTTTAACTAGGAAATAATTTCCGTAAATTGAGTATGCTAAACCTTCAACCTGACAGTCTTGACAGAAATAACTTTATATACATAAAAAAAAATATTTCATCAAAACAAACTGCATTGGTAAAGGTGTGTTGAAATTAGCATTTTTATTTTCTCAACTGCTTCTGAGTATAGCAGATTAAAGAAAAGTGCCTGCATGGGAAAGATGGGAAAACTGATGTAAGAAGACATTTACTGAGTCCTGTTAATCCTTTTGGTACATCTCCTAGAAACTAAATAAGTAAATGGTTAAGGACCAGGCAAGTAAGGTGATTCCCATTCTTTCACTTTCAACAAAACCGAAGGAGCACCTAACAGAACTGTCAACTGATAGATGTTTGATGATAAGTAACTATGTGATTTTTGGCATGTAACTGGAAGGCTCTGCTATCACAAAATTTCTACTAGAATGAACTTATTTATATGAATAATTATTTCTCAGCACTTAAACCTCAAAAATCTCAAAATCTTGTGTCATTCTATCAATAACTAATATATATATATATCCAGATATAAGAACCACTGGAGGAACATACAAGACAGCTCCATTCACTTAATTAAAAAACACATTTCTGTTGCCTAATTAATAGGCAAAGTGAATTTTAACCAAAATTTTAACATATGTATATTATTCTAATCAGCTGTGTGGTAATAGTAATTATAAAAACTCAAACTAGAAAATAATTTTAATATTTAGAGCCTTATGGTCACAGGGAAAACATTCCTAATTTCAATTTATGTACATTATTGTGACAAAAAGTATGATCAACAGAAAATTTTCAAACATAAAAACATATAACATTAGGATAAAATTCAGTGGGAGTAACAGAACTGACATACAAGTTGAAAGTGAAAATAAAATTCCCAACCACCGAAGTTTGTTTTCATTCAAATTTTTAAAAAATGCATTTAGATTCCCTTAGCTAAATTTGAGTGCTATATTTTATCCAAATATTACAGTATGCCAAAAATTTCATCCTGCATCACTAAACTTTTGCTGAAAAATTATAGTTACCAATTTAAATATATGCAAAGGGATACACAGTTTTTTGAAATTGTTTCAGGGAACATTTGAGTAAAAATCTGAAGATTATTGTCCTAGATTAACAAAGCTGTAAGTAAGGGTCATCGAGACAAACGAAGACTGTTTCAGAAGAGTAGCAAAAACATGACATTTGAATGTCAGTCTCCCTCAATAAACTGACAGCCTCAAGGGCATACATTTCGTCTGGGTATTCATACCATTCATGCCAAAATAGCACCTAGTAGGTTTTAATAACTATTTACCATGTGCGAAATGGATGAACGGAATGAAAGGTGAATGCGTGTAAGTGTCAGAGTATATTATTTGATAACAGGAAATTATAAACTAACAGATTTCTACTAGCAATCAAATACAAACCATAGATTTCAGAATACAGCCAGATGCCAGATCTCTTAAATTACAAAAGAAAAACCTTCACATAGAAATTTCATTTACATATTAAGGATAGATAGGTAAAATCTGAAATAATAACAAAGTTAGTAGTTTGACTTCTTTCAAAAAAGGTACCAGTAACTAAATGGAAGAATTGGCAGACAAAGGGGGTAAATTTGTAATCACCTGGCTACCTTAGCCATAAATGAAACTTCAATTTTAATAAATTAAGTTAGGATTTAAAGTATTTAGTAAAGTCAAAATCAAAACTTCGAAATTTACTTCAAAAAATACTAAATACTAAATACAAACAGTAAATCCTAATTCTTTTGTGAGTAAATGTTTTTCTAAGACCCTCAGTAACACTTAAATTTTCTCTTCCAAGATACAGAAAAGCCACCACCACCATCTGCCTATACTATGCAGTTTTCACTTCTCACAACAATGGAAGTAATATCCTCTAAGTCATTCACATCTGCTCACTAGTACTGCCAGCCGGTATTGACTAATTAAGAGGTGACTGTATCTACTGCCTGAGCACAATTTTGTCAAGTGAAATGGTGGGCTTAAATTGTGTACCTCAATTAATATAATGTAAATTAAACATACTTAGATGACTCACTCAGCATTATATCAATGTTAATTTGATATAATGTAAAAGGCTTGAAGTTTTAAATATTTTTTAGTTTTACTGAGGAATAACAGGCATACAATAAACCACACATATTGAAACATAATTTGATACATTTTGACATTATATACAAATTTACTCCTGAAAATTCCAACCCCCTTCTTCTGCCAAAAAGTAAACAGAATTTTTGTTAGCTGAGTAAAGTACTTACCTTCATGTAGTTCACAATCTTAGCAAGAACACCAAACTTATATCCAGAGCTTCCTGTTAGAGCTTTCAAGTTAAACGATCCATTGCTATGATCTGCAAATGAAATTCAAAAAAACCATTAAAACATTTCTATATTGGATATGATTATGACTTTCAAGCAGCTAAGATGATTTTTTAACACTGGTAAAATACTTCACATTTTGAGTTTTTCTATCTAGTAAATTCTATCCTATAAAATCTTGGTAACAAATTCACAATCTTTGCACGCATAAAAACCATCCATTTTCTAAGGATGGGAACAAAATATAAATAATTCAAAAGCATTAAAATACATTTCTTTTATAAGCACCATTATCTCATTCTTTCCTTAATTCTGATTAGATTTCCCCCATAGAGGCAAAGCTTTTGAAACAAGAGGACAATACAAATCTCAATCTAATCCATAGTGCTTTTCTGACAGACTTAAAACCATGAGAAGTGAGATTTTTTGAAAGGAATAAAAAGTTCAGTTTTTCACCTATTACATCAATTTCTGATTACCAGCTTAAATAAATGGATATTAATTAATGGGAATTAATAAAAAGTATTACACCATAACTATTCTAAAGTCCACTTTAGAGATATATTTGGAATAAAAAAATACAAGGGCTGCCACTGCGTAAACATAGGTGCTTAAAAAGGATAACAGCATGAAACAAGGAGCAATCTATAAAGAAGATAATCTGGTTCAAAACATCTACCATTTTGTTGCATATTTATAAACAGAAACCCTAATGCTACTTTTGCATCACAAATGCATTCCATTAATCATAGGCAGAAACAGCAAAAATCATAAACGCTGGGAAGACATTTCAGAAGTACACATTCTATTCAGCAAGGCATCAGATCAGATATTATAAAGTTCCCATGTGGCTGATCCACAAAGGAAGAGGTTAAATAAAAGGAAGGCGAGTCAATTTCTGGCACCAGTTTGGTAATAATAATTTAAACAAAAGAATGCATTAGAACAACCACAAGTCAAATGTAACAACTGTCAGAGATCCAAAAGAACAGCTTCTAGAAGGCAACATAATATTCCTTTGAGATTAGTTAGTGAAAAGGCTTTATTGAATATGTTTTTGAGACTAAAATGAGACCTCATATGCAATTTTCCTTTAAAAATAACTTTTTACAATACTGATAATACAATTGACACATTAAAGCCTACTACTTCACTATGTTTCCCAAAATAACAATATTAAGAATGCCTTTTAGGTGTGCTTTCACATTCACTGTTTCATACCTCCTATGTAGTTCATTTTCTGAGATGTTCAGGACACTCCTAACAGTAATAGTATCTAATCTTTATTGAACACTTACTATTTGCCATGTTAAATGATTCTCATTTAATTCCTCCCAAAAATCCTATTCAGGAGGTTTTATGTCCTGTTTGAAGCATAAGAAAACAGAGTAGTAAGAGGAAGAATAAAGATTCAAATCCAGTTGTAAACCCTGTGATGCTGCCTTGTATAAAAATCATTAACTAGCATTTAACACAAATTATTCCATCTCAAACTGGGTATTTTGTCAGAGTACAGAAATTCTTAAGTGCATATTTAATCAATTTTTGTTTGACTTTAGTAAAATAATATTAAGTTTATCCTACACTACTAAAGAACTAACTGGGAAGACTATGAAAAACAGTAAAGGACAGTATGTTAAGAATAAGCATCATGCAAATGGTCAATCATGAAGGACAAACAGCTTTGTTAACCATGGGGTCTCCAGGATTTAACTCAATGCCAGGCATAGTAAACAATAAATATTAGTTGACGGAACGAACATAAGAATATATCCATGTACACCTTATTGCCCGAGAAACAAATGTGCTGATTTATCCATAATGTAAAAAAATGTCTGCATAGCAAGCACTTACCCAGTCTGCTGATGTTATAATAGCCCGTTCCCATAAATAAAAACCATGACTGCTATGCTTAGACCACAACTCTAATACAGCAAAATAAAACATTTTGTCTCTAAAAGACCAACTAAGGATTCTTTTGCAATTTAAATTTCACAGACTGCTTTTTTAATGCAGGTGGTGTACCTACCAAAACTAACCCTCTCCCAATTAGTAGAGGTAAAAACCTTATTTCTTTTCCCTCAGAATTTCATCTAAATCAAACCGCCACATGGAAATAATCACTTTCAGAGAGCAAGATTTATATAAAGAACAAACACTGAAAAAAAATCATTTATGAGATTTTTATGCACACTTCCTGAAGGAAATACCAAACTGATAAACCTGGACTGTTTCCTAGGTTACAACCTCTCTTCTAGCCTGAGCACTGAAACAATCACTGAAGGATCTGAAATTCTATAGCTAAACACTAAGGAATCAACAATTTGTTACTAACTCACAAATTCCTATACAGAAATTTAGCTTAAAGACAAAAAAGGCAAGAAAAAGGGGTGACAGTTGAGAACCCAGACAGCTCTATTCAAGTTTATGAATGATTTACTCTTAGGGTGGCAAGACTAAATGCAAATGAACGAAGAGGAAACTGTCAGCTGCACTGTGGTTCAACCAATAGGAGCACAGCTCCATCTTGGCTGTGCACTAGACTGCATTACACACAGACGATACCATCGCTTCAACAGCAGCCTTTCAGCAAGAGGTAGGTTTATATGATCTTTTTTATTTAATAATACATGTCCTTATGATACAGTATAAATATTTTATCACAAAAACCAAGCAGAAAGCTTTGTTCCTACTAAAGACCCAAAAACATGTATTCATTTCATCGCTTGGCAGGATTTTATTACGAAAATGTGAAGTCTGCCTTGTGCTACTTGATAAGCAAGCACCCTCACCCTCTGCGCCTTAACAGAAAATTCATGACATTTTCTATGAATCTGATCTATATCCAGACCTTAGAGTAAACCATATGCATTTGATTTACGTGGTTACTTGCAAATTTCATTTTCTCTGAGCTATTTCATTTCAGCAGTTTGGTTTCTCTTAACAAAGGATTTTTCTTAAAGAAAAACCTAGACTAAAAGCATATCCTGGACTAAAGCTTTCTGATTATATGTGCAAATTATATTGGCTGGTAAAAAGCAGTTACTTATAAAAAAAAAAGTTTGTTGTATTTTAACAAATATAAGAAAATAATTCAAAATTGTTTTTATTTGACTTTGAGTGTAGGTGTAGAGAATGCCTATAAATGATCATAACTGTGATTTTTATATAAAAATAAAAAGACCAGAAAGGTACCAATAGGTAGGCTACATTATACTGTAACCAAAGAGATTATTTATAGAGCTTCAGATTTTCATATATTTTAATTAAAATTCCTTACAGTGAAATTTTAAAGTCTATGTTACTGAACATACAAGTCATGCCATTGTTAAATTAAAAACCTTCTTAGACAGTTATGTTTTTGGTATGCTACAAAATATGTATTTATCACAGTACTTTAATATGTTAAAGTTATTCTTAAACTGATCTTCAAAATAAATACACAGTAAATCTTTTTTATAATTTCCATTTTAAAATAAAAATATGTCCTAAGGAAAACTGGTTAAGGGACAGGGGGTACCTTTCAAGGTAGTAAGATTACTTTCATGGCTCAGAGCCATCATTCATGTCTACTAAAAATGAGTATAAACTGCTGACCAAATTTCTAATTCTATAATATTCAAGCATGAAATTATAATTATTTATTAGATGCTATAGTTCCAGATTACCTAAACTAAAGATCCAACTTCTGCCCTTTTCTTTGTTGGTAAATCTATTTAAATTTTAAAGAATTTTTTTCCTTCTATTTCTTAGCCAGTGTTCTGCTGGCATGAGCAAGGTATCCCTTATAGAGCTCAAAGACTTCTGTAAAAAGATACTGGATCTCTCCAGGCTCAGTACAGTGTGGTTAATTGCCTAGAAAACATTCCTGCTTGATATACAAAGTGTGGGAGCCCCCCAAAAAGTCTCAGATAAAGTAAAAATTTGACAAAGTTAGTCAAATAAAACAGTTAACTTGTAAACTTCAGGTAAACTGTAGGCAGAAACTCCTACCATTCACATTGTCTTAACCCTATAATCAGCCCACATTTTACTGGTAATGTAGCTATAGTTAGTACAGATGGAGACTCACTGCTGTTTCGCCAAACTACCTTAGAGACATGGCCTACCTCAGAAAGTTCCAGGGCCGTGTGAATTGTTCTATATATAAAGGATATTACGATCAATTGATCATATTTCAAAGTGATATGTTTAAAGGCACTACAGAATTCAATTCAAGGGTTTTTTTTTCCCATAAATAGAGCAAAAGCATAATTTTATTCTCATCTGGCAATTCAAGGTTCTAGAACAGCTCCAAGTCCTATCCTTATAAATATTTCACTAGGACCATTTAAAATGGAAGGAGAAATAAGGGAATATACAAAACAACAATATAAACTAAAAATTATAATTTTCCTTTAATACTTCCCATTCTTGTAATGAAATGTTAAAGGGAATGAGGGATCCAGAAAAGTACAATAGACCATTTTTCTTAAGCCATTTTCTCTTACTTTTCATAAGGCATGTTTACAGCATTTGCTTCATATAAATTTACGTTTTAATTTCAAAAATAGTCTTAAAATACAAGGAAATACTAATGGTAAATGTCTTTCTATGTATCTAATTATGTCTAATCCATCAAAGTAAGATTTAGATTTTACCTAAACTTAACACAGAAGAGCTGTAGTGTACTTCGAAAGAATAAACCACATTAAATTTAAGGTGGTGGGGAAAGGGGGTGGGAAGGGATAAATCTGGGAGTTTGAGATTTGCGTATGTTAGCCACTATACATAAAAATAGACTAAAAAAAAAGTTTCTTCTGTATAGCACAGAGAACTATATTCAATATCCTATAATAACCTTTAATGATAAAGAATATGAAAACATATGTATGTATATGCATGACCGAGATATTGTGCTGTATACCAGAAACTGACATATTGTAACTGAATGTACTTCAATTACAAAATGAATAAATAATTTAAAAATTTTAAAAAAGTTAAAGGTGGAAGATGACTCCACATTAAAGGTTTACTTTTTCCAGATACGCCCAGAAGCTAACTAAAGAGTGAATGTTTTCAGTTGTTCATCAGTTATCAACACATTCACAAACTGCTGTCGTCATTTACAACATAAACCTGACATGTATGTACTCTTTCTTAAAACTGCTTAGATGCTTCTAGCGAAACTTAGAACTACCCTTGGAGGCGCCATACACTGTTCTCTATAGTCACTATTACAAGAATAATTACTAAAGGCACATTCGTGTGTGGATTAATTATACAGCCTAACCAAAATGAGTTTACTAAACCTCATTTTTTTAGAAGTAATCCAAACACAACAATTAAACACAATAGACTATATAAAACACAACAGACTATTAAAAACCAAAGGCAGGGAATAATTTTAAAATATATTAGTTTGGATTTGAATAAGTAATACATTCAAATGATTCAAAAACCAAAAGAATATACAGGATTGTAGACTAGGAAAAAAATGCACAACCTAAAAGTTGAGAATTATGTTTTATTTGGCGGATTTTTTGAGGGGCTTTCTGAGGACTTAAGCCTAGGAGGCAGCCTCTCAGATAGCTCCGAAGAGGTAAGGGAGGAGGCCAGGATACACGAGATTTTGCAACAAAAACCAGGTAGCAGGAACATCAAAATATTACAGAAAACCAGATACCTCAGGTTAATGAATTTATAGCTCAGGCTTATGAATTTGCAGGAAGATGCACGAGTCTGGGAGCACTGAAATCGTTCCTTTGATATGCACCTTAACTATCTAGGGCCAGTATCTAGTTCTTTCCCATCCTGAGTCCCCTCGGTGTGCACTGCTGCAGGCAGCCTGTTCGTCTCCATCCTGAGTTCCCTGAGGGCTCACTGGCAGGTGCAGCTGTAGTAGCTGATGGCTTCATGGCTTCAACATCCTTTGTTTGCTGACACAGCAGGTGGCATTCTTTGTCCACAAGGTACTCCTTGAGAAGTCTCACACACATCCCTGTCCCCAGGTTCTACTCTCCAACCAACCCCACAAGGAATCACTGTTATTAATTTATTGTATCTTCCTTTCAAAGATTTTTGTGCAGATTCAAGCAAGTAGAAATATGTATTATTTCCCTCTTTCCTCTACACACTGTCCTGCATCTTGTTCACCTAAAAACATATCCTAAAAAGCTTTCCATAGTCACCTCACTCATGCATTACATTCAACTGTGAATATATTGTATTAATTTAATCAGTAGAAGAGTCACTGAATGCGAGCAAGTTAACTTCAAATAATTAAATGCAATTGTGTCTGTCTGTCTATCCCACCTTCTCCTCCCCCTTCTCTCATCCTTCCCATCCTTATTCGTTCCTCCCTAATTTTTCAGGGGGAGGGGACCTTAAAAGTTTTTAAGCAGTTCACCTGGATCTCAAAAATAAACAGAATATAAAGTTCCTTAAGCCAACTTTCTAATCATTCTAAAATTTCATTTTGAAATAGTAATTTACATTATCTATCTCTACAAATTCCCCCCAGTTTTAAAGTCACTACGAATTTTTTTTAAAAGTCCTACTCATAATACATTAAACTATGCAAAGTAATAAATTCAGCGTAATTTCAACCAGGTATAAATTATGGATTTATATAGTCAACTTGTAGGAGAAAGAAAAAAGCCAAAAGTTTGATATATGTTAGGGAGATAGGATCATTACAGGTGATGCTTTCAAATTTTTTTTAAATTACTGTTATTTCTGAAATCAATAGTGAAGTAACAGCTTAAGTCCATTAATAAGGTACATCAACTAATTTGAGGGGCATAATGTGGAAATTGCTTCACTCGACTCTCTCCTCCCTCCCCTACACAATCAGCTCTAATGCCAGATTTAGAAGAGAAATCTTCAAAAGAAATTTCCAAATTTTAAAAAGGAATCAGCCTGAAAAGTCTTAACAGAAAGTCTAAGGAATATGTTCATCAGTGCTGAAGAGGTATAGGTTACCCCAGGTAAAATTAAGGGACAGACCATCAAGCAAGTCTTCCTGCTCTTCACCTACCCAGCTAAACAGCACCACCCCGTTTCTCCCAAGGTCCTCATCTTCTCTTGCCTCTCTATTAACTCTCTGCTTTTCAAAACCGACCTGAAACTCATTCACACTTAAGTAAAAATAACCCTAACAATGTATGTTACCCCTCCCAGGAATACCCTCATTTTAGTACTGCTAAAAACCTTAAAAGAGCTCCAAAGTTGAACACTTTTCAGGCATGTGCGTGTCTGTGCGCATGCACACACTACACTAGTCTATTAGGAAGGCTGGGTCAAAAAGGATTTAACTTCTGTCTCCGTTTGAGTTAGTTTCCATAGGTTACTTGACTATGTGTGCAAAATCAGAGGCAGCAACAAGGCAGAGGTGGAGGGGTAGCCTGGCAGCACCTCACATTGCTCAGCTTCAGCTTACACTGTATCCTACGTGAATGGTGCCCACCCCACAACACAGTATGACCAGTGCTCCCTGGAGTTGTGCAACACAGCAATTCAGCCCTGCTTTCTTAAAGACTGTGCTTAGAAGAGAAAACTCCAAAGGACAAATGAGGGTAACTCTGAAAGGCTGGGTCTCCTGACATACTTTGAACTGCTGTAATGTAGTGGGAAGTTAATCACAGATCTGTGTGCCAGACAATGTATTTTTGTATGTCCAAGAACTAAGGAAGCAACTGATTCAACTACTGTCCATTAGTCTCTTGTCCCTCATTTCAAGTGACAAGGGTCACTAAGCACCATGAAATGGAAGGATTCTTAAATCCAAAAATAAATAAATAAATTTAAGCCTTAACTTCTGGCCTTAGATCATCAATCTGATCTTCAACATACACAAAGGGAAGAAAGGAAGGAAACAAGTCCATTCAGACAGGTGAAGTGATTTGCCAAGCAAATTATATTTAAGAAAGAAAAAGGAAACTTAGAAAATATTAATTTATCAATCCCAAAGTTTTAAAATTATGTTTATAAAGAAAATAAAGAAATCTACATAATTATATTGTTATGGCTTCGAGTTTTTTAAAGTCACCTTTTTATCTTTTTTGGTGTGAACATGATATTGTGATTACATTTTAAAACAGCCCTCACCTTTTAAGAGATATGTGCTGAAATACTCCTACATGAAGTGACGTGATATCTGGGATTTGCTTCAAAATAATGTATGAGGTAGAAGCAAGAGGGCAGAGGTGTAGACTGGCCGAGAGTTGAGAAATGAAGCTTGTCATGGCACGCAGGCGTTCATTATACTCTTAAATTTCTATACCACCTTGAAATTTCCTTTAAATAAAACACTCTCACACACATTACTCCAACACTTAGAAAAGTATTTCCTACACAGTAGGTAATCAATAAATATGTTTAATATTTACAACTACGTAGCAAAGAAAAAGTATGCAAAGTAATTCATTTCTTTCATAAAAGAAAGCATACAAACTCAAGTGGAATTACGGGGTTTTTCCCCTTTTACTTCAAAAAGTTTCTTGGTATATAGGTATTGCATAATTTTTTTAAAGCTTAAAAAGATATTTTTAAAAGATTCAGATAATAAAGTCATTTAGCATTTTTAATAATACCAAATCTTCAATCCTTATGATTCCATTTAAGGCCTAACAAGTATCAGGTTAACAAGAGCAAAATCTAGTGCAAGAACACTGAAACGTTAACTCACTGGCTAGTTCTGCGAAATGAAACAACAACTTAGATAGCTTTGGAGCACTGAATTTGTCTGTTTTGTTTTTTTTTAAGTATTCGTGCCCATAGGTCATTGAGTTATTACAAGACATTTAAGACTATCGTACACATTACCAAAAACAAACACCTTAAATTCAGGTCTCTTCATAGGCAACATTAATCTAAAATTTTATTGTCCTTATTCTGAAAACTGTCATTATTTGGCTTTTCTTTATCTGCTGTTTTTCACTCAGCCACTACTTCCTGATTCAGATCACCTGTCCTGGAAGTTTAAAGGAGAGGAAACGAGAGACAGAAATACACTGAACTAAGCAGGTGAGATGGATCCATGAGGGTAATGAGAAAAGCTTTCCTGAGGGCAGTTGGAAGACTTTAAAAGGCAAATATCTTTTATAGATAACAGCTCGCTGACTACTGCTTTAGTCAAATTTTTAAAATAATTCAGCTGCCTTTTTCTCCCTCCATTAGCAGTTAATTTCTGTATATGACACTTGAACAAACATATTTGTCTAACAAATGATATACATTAAGAAATACATAGTATGGTTTAAAGAATACACTGCATAGACAGAAAAAACTCAGAAACACCACTCAGGCTCCAATTATGGCAGAAAATAAGGAACACTGATGCAGCCTATATAAGTTTACAAACAAATCTTAAAACTGAGATTTGAATTGACAAACCTGTAAACTCTGGTTACATGTATTCATTTTCTACCTCTCTATAGAGTCAAACAAGCGACATAAGAAGTGCTATCTCTTTAAGAATGGCCTCCCTGAGCTCCAGCCTCTGGAATGAAACAACTACATCTGTTTATCAGTACCTTGGTTTTCAAGTTCAAAAAATTTACCCTTTCCATGATAACTGGAACACTGCCTGCTTTGTTATTCTGCTTTTATTTATATTTACAGTGGTCTCTTTAGTAGTGCTGGCTTTCCTTTATGAAGTGCTTAACTGTTGCTGCTGTGTGAAAAACAAAACTGTGAAAGACCTGAGAAGTGAACCGAACCCCCTCAGAAGTATGATGGACAACATCAGAAAACGTGAAACTGAAGTAGTCTAGCTTCAAAAACAGCCTTCAACCACTGAGAAAAAAGGAAAAATTTCTGAGGCCAATTGTTATTACAAAATTGACTCTGACTATGAATAATTAAAAGATTTCTACTAGAAAGAAAAAACAAATTAAATATGCACTTTCTGTGTGTGTATCCATTTCATTAAATATACAGTGAAACTTCACAAATGTGAATAATTTACCAATCTATTTAAAATGACACTTCAAAAACTGGATAAAAGATTCCTAGAATTCAGTACTCATTAAAAGGTAAACTGGAAAACAAAAGAAAGGCTAATGATCCCAAAGTAACTTATATCTAAATCAATCACATGGACTAAAAAAACAGAATTATTCTCCACGTGTTTTGGTTTAATTAAAATGCTATTTAAAATGCTTATCCAAAACCAAAGTAAAATACTTCCACTAATACATAAGTCCCCACTTATTAAAAAACAGTATTTACTAGTTTATTGAGCTTACACATTTTTTAAAAATTAAGTTTTATGTAAGATTGGTGTGAGAAAAAAATCTCAAAATACTCAGAAAGGTCACAAGTACACCTGCATAAACTTTTCATAAAACTGACTTACTGTTTAGTAAGAAATACATGGTCTAAGATGGGCCATTTTCAAACTAAAACTTACTTGTACACCCCCTAAACTGCATTTCTTGAGCTTGTTCTTTCTTTATGCTTCTCATATTCACTCTCTCAAGGGCTAAGATACCCAATGCAAAAAAACTGCAAAAAAAAGTCAAAAGGTAAGACCATTTAACACCTGTTAAGAAATAGGGCAGTTTTATTTCTTGGAATGTTAAGAGCTATACAGTATTCTATTTTATAACCATGACACTATTTTGCTACCACCTGTGAACAAACCAAAGCATGCTTTTAACCACTGCACTACAACTGCCCTTAGACCAGAAATGCCACTCCTGGAAATTTATTCTGAGAAATCAGGTCAAAAAAAAAAAAAAAACCTCAAGATACAAAGATGTGTACAACAGCATTACTCAAAATAACGACAAAAAAATGGAAATAACAGCCTTTAACTAAATGGGCACTTCAATTTAATAAGTTAAGAAGCTATTGAAAATTACGGCAAAACAGCAAATATTTGATATGTGACATGAAACATACATATCTGTCATTTTTGTTTTAGAGAACCCTAAATGCCAGTTTGAAATCACTGTTTGACATAATACTTACTTTTTTTTCTGACATTAGAAACAAACAGAAAATGTAACCAACTTTCAAAAGACTTATGAAATCTAGATATACAAAATACTTTAACAACCAAGGTACTTGTTAAAACCATATTTTCATAAATAGAAAACTTTGGGGTCCTTGCCATAGTTGGGAAGCATATGGGTCCTTTAATAAACATTTTTTTTATAATATACACTATCAAATTTTCCCTACCTTACCCTGTACTTTATTTAGCAATTCAACAAATACGTACTGAGTGTTTCTCTGTGTGAGATATTAGGTTACAACAGCAAACAAGTAACCATGCAATTACAAAGGAACACAACAGCTTCCTCAGAAATAGGGAGTGCGATGGGAATTCAAGGGCTAAGCACTGAATTCAAACTGCCAAGTGGGAATGACTATTAAGCTGAAATCTAAAAGAATGGGAGTTAACCAAAGGAAAGAGGGAAGGAAGTACAAAAGAATGTTCCAAGAAGAGGAAGTACTATAAGGAAAGGCCAAGAGGCAGAAGAGAGTAAAGCAGATTAGAGAAGCTACAAGTCAGTATCACTAGCACAGAGTACAGGAACAGAGAGATAGGGGCATAAAAGGTAAGTGGAGACCAGATCAGGCACAGCATGCAAACTGCAGGGAAAGGTGGACTTTGTCTGAAAAGCAATGATAAATCAGCCTTAAGCAGAGAGAGATGTCATCAGATTCATGATTAGAAAAATCAATGGCTGTTGTACAGAGAATGGATAATAAAGAAAGTAAACCAAGAGACGTGGTAAGCAGCTAATCGGGCAATCCAATGACAGTGACCCGAACTACGGTGGTATGGTGTCTTTAGTGTTTACACGCAGTATTTCCAGGTCCCCTCTTTCTGAGCACATGGAACCAGTAGATACAGCCCTGTGACTAGTTCTAGCCAATGAGTTGTGAGATGAAGTCACCCTCACCTCCAGACCAGAGCACTGAACTGGCAGGCAAGATCTTTAAGAGTTCTTTTTCCCTCTGGCACTGAAACCAACAACGTTTGCAGTATCAGCTACTCTATCAGCTTGGGTCCTTGACTGACTAATGAGCTAAGACCTCTGCTAACACATGATAAACACAGGTATGAAAGAATAACTTTTGTTGTTTTAAGCCACTGAGATTTTGGAGCTTAAGATAGCCTTAAGCAAATCAAAGAAACTAGGTCTAAGAGCAAGTCTTTGCTAATGTTTAAAACACTTCTAAAATTTTGTTTACCATAATTCAATGTAAATTTCATTGGAATGAGAGATAAACCTGTTATGTACTAATAAGAATGACAGGTCTACTTTCAAAGAAAGATTGGCTCTGCTTTGATGTCACTTAGGAAAACAGCTTGAAGAACATCTAACAAGATGGTATCTATAAAGATCACTACTACTACACTTTGAAATAGGTAAATAATTTTTGTTATGAATTAAGTTGCACTGACCTAGTTGTCTAAAAGATAACAGCCCGAGAGTAAACTAAACTCAAAATAAGCAGAAGGGAGGAAATAATAAATGAAGTGGAAATTAATGAAATTTTAAAAAATCAGAAAAACGGGGAAAAAATGAATGAAATCAAAAGTTGGGTTTCTAAAATATCAACAAAATTGACAAACCTTTAAGCGACACTAATCAAAAAACAAAAACACAAATTCCTAAAATCAGAAACGGAAGATGGGAAGGATATCACTACTAAACTTACAGAAATCAAAAATATTGCAAGGGAATACTTTTAAAAACTTTGGATAATGTAGATGATGAAATAGACAAACTCCTAAAAAGACACAAAATACCAAAATTAACTCAAGAAGAAAGAGAAAACCTGAATAGATCTACAAGAAGAAATTGCTACCAAGAGCATCCCACAATTGGAAAACTCAGGCCCAAATAGCTTACTTAGTGAATTCTATCAAATATTTAGAGAGAAGTTTATATTAAACCTTCACAACTCTTCCAGAAAGTAGAGGAAAATGGAATACTTTACAGATCATTTTATTGGGCCATAAATAGCACAATAGGTATCAGAAGAAAACTACAAACCATACCCTTCATGAATAGAGAGACAAAAATCCTGTACAAAATACCAGCAAACTGAATCTCACAACAAAAAGGATTACACACCATGACCAAGCAGGATTTATTCCAAGAATGCAAGTTGGTGTAACATCTGAAAATCAATTAATGTAATATACCATATTAATAAAGAACAAGAACAAACATGATAATTTCAATAGATGCAGGAAAAATATTTAACAATATCCAATATTCATTTAGATTAAAAACTCTCAACAAACTAGAAATAGAGGGGAACTCCTGATAAAGGGTATCTACAAAAACCCTACAGCTAACATCTTGCATAGATTGAATGCTTTCCCCCTAAGATCAGGAACAAGGCAAAGATATTCACACTCACTACTCCTATCCAAAATCATACCAGCCAGTCCTGACAGGCAAGAAAAATAAAAGGCACTCATATAAATAACTGTTCTTATTCACAGATGACATAATCCTATTATGTAGATTAATCCTAAGGAATCCACCCACACAAAAAACTAGAATAAATGAGTTCCACAGGGTTGCAGAATACAAGATCAATATACAAAACTCTAATATATTTATACTAGCAATGAACAATCCAAATATCAAACTAAGAAAATAATTTCATTCACAGTATCAAAAAGAATACTTAGAATTTAAGACATATTAAAAATTACAAAACATTCTTAAATTAAAAACCTAATAAATGGAAAGATAACCATGTTAATTGACCAAAAGACTTAATATTGTTGAGACAGAAGGTCTCCCCAAATTGATTTAAAGATTCAATGCAATCCCTATCAAAATCACAGTTTGCTCTTTTACAGACATGAACTGATTAGCTGATACTAAAATTTATATGGAAATGCAAAGGATCCAGGAAAACTAAAACAATCTTGAAAAAAAGAACAAAATTGAAGGGCTTACAATTTCCAATTTCAAAACTTGACTGGAATGTTACAGCAATCAAGAGATGTGGTACTGGCATTAAGGACAGACATATGAGTCAATGGAACCTAACAGATTCCAGAAATAAACCCTCATTTATTGTTACCTGAGTATGAATTCAACAAGGGTGCCAATCCAAGTCAATAGGGAAAGCTTTTTTCAAAAATGGCACAAGGACAAAAGAATAACCACATACAAGAAAAATGAATTTAGACTCTTATATGAAACCATACACAAAAAAATTAACTCAAATATATCACAGACCAAAATTTAAGAGCTAAAACTATAAAACTCGTAAGAAAATACAAGCGTAACTTTTCATGACCTTGGGTTAGGCAAAGATCTCTTAAAATATGACATCAAGAACACACGTGATATTGGATCAACAAATTGTACCCAGAATACACAAAGAACTCTTACAATCAATAGGAAGAAGACAACCCAATTTTTTCAAATGGGCATAAAGTATCTGAATACATATTTCACCAAGCCACATGAATGGTCAATAACACATGAAATGATGTTCAACGTCATTAGTCATTAGGGTACCGCATATTAAAATCACAACAATACTACTTCACACCCTCTAGAATGGCTATAATCAAAGACAAAGAATAACAAGTGTTGTCAAGAATGAGAAAAAAATAAAATGTAAAACAGTATACCCATCTGGTAGTTTCTTAAAAAGATGAACATAAAATTATTACATTACCCAGAAATTCCACCCTTAGGTCTTTATCCAAAAGGGGAAAAAAAACACATCCACACAAAGATTCGAAATAATCCAAATGTCCATTAACTAGTGAGTGGATAAACAAATTGTGGTATATCCGTACAATGGAACA